ACTCTCCCCTCGCACCCTCTCCATCGCACCTCAGCCACCCCCGAGGCTGGGTTTGGGGGGAAGCAGGGTGCCCACCCGCCAGTCCCAGCCATTGAGGCTGGGCTCGCCATGGCCCCCCGCACCCTGCCGACTAAAAAGTCACGACAGCCTCACCCGCCTCTCATGAGACTGGAAAAAGTATCGCAAGAGAAAGAGAGAAGGAAGGAAGGAAAGAGGCAAAGATAGATAATGGCTTCTTTTTATTTGCCTTCTGCTCTCTGAGTCATGGTTTTCAGTTTTACTCCCCAACCGCAAAGTCTAAAACTTTTTTTTTTTAAAAAAAGCCCCGTGAAAGTCAAGGTTCGCTTGTATCCCCGTGCCTCTTGGGCTGAGGCTTTAAATACGTCCCTGTCAGACAGGACGATATCGAGCTGTGTCAGAGTATCTTTTTTGCACCCAAACCACTCTCAGCCCTTCTTCCACTTCCTCTCTTTGAAAGCAGCCCCATCTTTCATAACCATGTTGTAAATGAATCATCTCTTTTCTGGCCCTGCGCCCCTGGGAGTTAGATTAAACTTGTTGTTTCTGCTTAATTTCAAGAGATGTGAACTGTGTCCCCACAAAGATGGAGCCCTGAAGCGGACTGACAACGGAGGTGAGTACCTCCGCGCAGAGCCGGGTATGTCAGATAGAGCCTCTGGGAACTCGGTAGCTGTCCCGGGTGCAAAATAATTAATTTCTGAGCCTATGTCACCAGAAAGGGAAGGCTGGAGGCTCCAGAGGAATAAAAACACTCTGCCTTTTTCTTATAAAACTTCACTTTCTGAAGCCTCCATGGCAAGAAGACCTTTCCCTGGAGGGGAACTTGCCTGACCTCTGCCTGGCATTGAAGCACAGCCCCTTAAATGCGCCATTTCTTGAGTTTAACGTCGCAGGAATCGGGGCACGATCTGGCGTTGTTTACAGGAAGGTGGAAGTTGCAGAGTTATTTGCTGCACGCTTGCACAGCAGTAGTGTGATCCTCGAGTTAACAGAGCCTCAGCCTTGAGTCCCCATCCGAGAGCAGGGACCAGGACGCAGTAAAGATGTTTTTCTCTGCAGGACTTATCTGCTCGTCATTGATGCTTCTCAGCCTCTGGTGCTGTGAAGTACTGTGGAGTCTGATTTCAGTTGTCAGAGCTTGCAGCTACTGATGGTACTGGCTGTGTAGATCAAACTTAATTTTTCTCAAAAATCTTACTTTTCAGAAAGGCTTCTGAACCTACCTGTCGCTTACCTTAATACACAAGGAGTTGAATTAGGCAAGGAGGTCTTTATTCTGATAGATCCCGTGTTTAGAGAAGAGGTGCTAAGTCCAGGATATTTTGTAGAAGCGTCTGCTAGAGCTTGTCATAAGTGCCAAGAGCCTTAGCGCAATAGCACAAGTATCATGTTGGGGGATTGTTTTATAATAACATAGCATCTTCTTCCAAACATGTTATTACATGGTTTGGTCAGGTCTGTGTAGACAGGCACAAGAAGTGTTACAACCATGTCACTGTACAGGATTATATAGCCCAAGTAGTTGCAGTGCTGTATGGTTCTGTAATCATAGAGTTTGGTTCTGCCTGCCCAGGTGAATCCATCCTAATTCTAGCTAAATCCTTCCAGTGCTGTAGCCATACCAGTATGGACAAGCCCCCAAAGGCTCCTGACCTTCAAACGTTCTCAGTTCTATCCTGAGTAGATGGAATTTCAATTTACACATCTGATTTGGGAAGTGTCTTGGTGGATTTAGATTTTAATCTAACTTGGCTTGCTGAAAAAGAGCCTTCTTTAGTCATTGATAACAGCCAATAAAGGGAGCTTTGTTTCCAGTGGCATGGGACTACACGTCAAACCTGTCCCATCAGCATCATTTACTGCTTGGATACTTTTCCTGGGTTTGGTTAGGTCTTCAACTCTAGGTCTCAAGTCCTGAGGGGGTGCTTTTAAGAACGATGACTGTTGTACGTTTCTTTTCCCAAAGAAATCTCTGCTTTTTTATTTAATCTGGAGGTGGTATCTGTCTATCTTTCACCCACAAAGGATTTGATTCCTAACCAAGTTACAACAAGCAGCATTTCAAATCTAACATCTAACTTAAGTTGTCTCCCTTCCTACGCTCTCTTCCTTTTCTCCCTCCCATGCTTGTCTGCAGCCATGTCTGAGTTTAAGACTCTTCTGGGTTGTCCCATGTGAATCTCCACTCTCTGTCTTGTTTCCTTACCCAGGGTGGGCCCATGTCGTCTGCGCTTTATACATCCCAGAGGTGCAGTTTGCCAACGTGCTCACCATGGAGCCAATTGTCCTGCAGTATGTACCCCACGACCGCTTCAACAAGGTAAGGCTAGCTCTCTCCCCAAGTGTACTTGCCCTGCCTTGGCTTTTTGGGGTCATCTTATTCTACCATATCTCCTGTCCAATTTATTTTAATTTCCAGGTACTCAGATTCCTTTAAAAACAGCTAACAAAGTAAATCCCCATTCTTGCCAATAACTTTTTGGTCCTCCGTTTCTCTCTTCCCCAACTCCCGGCAAATTGAGCAATCTCTGCCTTGGAGTTGCACGTTGGTCACTCCACATTTTGATCTGACAGAGTTGTTATTTGGGAAGAAAACGAAAATGCATGAGTTTTGTGCATACAACTGAGAAATAACCCAGAGCTGTTGTCATAGGAGGGAGATGACTGGACACAGAGTTACGACTTCTTGAAGGCTTTGCCTCCTGGTGAACAGTGAGAGTGAAGTAGACATTTTGTCTGCCTCTTTAAGTGAGCACTTTTCCTTTTTTTTCCCCAGACCTGCTACATCTGTGAAGAACAGGGGAGGGAGAGCAAAGCAGCCTCTGGAGCATGCATGGCCTGTAACCGACATGGCTGCCGGCAAGCTTTCCACGTCACCTGGTGAGTTCCCCACAGCATCACCCAAAGAATCGCCCCAGCTATTGGTTTTGCTGCTCTGGCTTTGAGGCCGCACTAAATGGGTGGTGTAGGGAGGCTAATCACCCTGGGTTTATTTTGTGCAAGAGGTATCTCGTCCTTGCTCAGTTTGTGAGGGGAACTTCCCCAGGAAGGCTGAGGTTTCACCAGTGAGCCTTCCCTGCTGAGAACCAAGGCTGGGGATTTCCCTAAGACTGAGTGGAATCCAAGAAGTGAAGAGATGAGTCACGACCCAGGAATGTTCCTTCTCCAGCAGAGCACATGCAAGAGTATCATCTAGATGATGTGATTGTAAGGGCTGATATCCTCATGTACCCTCGCAGCCTGAAAACAACATTGTCTATCAGCAGAACGGGGAGATTCCAAGCTTTACATGGATTCCTTGCTCATTATATGTCTTTTGTTGGAGTTGTTACTGGTCTCCCAGGCCTCCCTTAAGAAAAACAAAAATTGCAAGACAATCTGGTAGAGAAGTACTGACAATTTTGAAAATCTTAATATGAATTAAAAATACTCCAAACTTTTTCCCCCCCTCCTTGTATTCCATTTGCCAAGAAGAATAGGAAACTTCAAGACCCTGCCTGGGTATCTTGAACTATTCTTAGCCCTTTGATGGGATATGTGGTCTGGCTGTACAATTTGCTTTATCCTCCTTCTCATTGCATGTATTTCAGTGCCCAGATGGCTGGCCTCTTATGTGAAGAGGAAGTCCTAGAAGTTGACAACGTCAAATATTGTGGCTACTGCAAGTACCACTTCAATAAAATGGTGAGTATCTTCATCCCTGCAGCGGAGTTTTTTTGTCACATAAAAGGCATTGTCTTCATCTTAGATTGTGTCTGTGCTCAGACCAGTAAGAAATGCCAAGAACACATAAACAAGGTCTGCAGCCTGCTTTCCTTTTCAGCCATTCAGTCAGAGTCACTTAGGAAGAAAGATTAATTTCTATTTTGCATTTCTGTAGCATCTTTAAACTCATTTTCAACACTATGGGTTGAATTCTTCCAGTCTGTTTTGATTTCCCTGACCCACTCTGTATGGCTGAAAGATAAGTCCCAAGAAAGGAGAGCAGCCATGATGTTTGGTGCTCCAGGGATTTCGGGGTATAGCTCAGGCACCCTGGCAGGAGGGTAACACAGAACAGCCAGAACTTCTGCCTGAGGACAGAGACAGCGCAGAAGAGACATGGAGTCATTCACTGTTTGAGGGATATTTGGGGCAAAGGACTTCCCCCTATTAATTACAGTACGAAGAGGAAAGAGAGGAACCCTTTTCCTGTTCTGCATAATTAGTAGACACCTGCTCTCCCCCTCCAGCAAAAAGGAAACTTGATCCTCTCACTACAGCTTTGTGTCTCACTGGCTCCTTTGTTGCTGGCCTTCCCCACTTTCCTTCCTGCTTATCAGTGCTGTCACATACAGTGACTGATGTCTTGAGCTTCCCCTCAAAGTCAAACTGGAGGACACCTTCCCTGCCCTTCAGGTACCCTCAGTATCTGACACAAGTGTAGCTCTGTATCAAGTTCACTGATGCTGAGAGAGATAGCAGGACTTCTGCTAGTGCCTGCGAGTCTGAGAACAGGGCATCCTTCCACACACACCCTCACGCCCTACTCAAGACTGAAAGCTGGACACTGCTCTTCAGGAGGACTGGCTTGTCTAAGCAACATCGCTGCTACCATTTATCTTGTTTACAGAATGGTCTCTTAGCAGCTGTGCCTTTCTTGTAGAAGTGTCACTGTGCATGGGCCACCAAAACCCAAGGATTTGGGGAGTTAGATCTACCTGCTGTTGGTAAGCCCAGTAGTATGGTATCTGCTCTCGTCCCTGTGTTAGGAACCAGGGTGGGCGTCCAGTACAAAAAGAACTTGGTCCTGCATGTGGTAGACGAACCATTTACTGTAACTTTGCTCACTGTAACAGTGAGAGCTGGACTCTGTAACACTGTTTCCTCTCTCTTTCTCTCTTTTCCTTTTTCTCCTATTCTCCCGACTCCTCTCCCCTTCCCCACTTACCTCAGAAGACCTCACGTCACTCTGGAGGTACCTCCTTCATTGCTGGAAGAAGGAGTCGATCCACATCCCCTGCTCAAGAGAAGCACGTATCCCACCACGAAAGGCCAAAGAAGGTAAGGTCTGCACAGGGTTTGTCAGTCCAGAGAGGCACAGTCACGTGGGATGGAGGTGAGAAGGGGAAGAGTGTGCGGAGAGCACCGATGGCTCCTCAGGTGAGCCCTGACTCTGCAGAGAGTTTTACAGTCAGAGATCTGAATAGGATCTGCGTTTTTAAACTGGCCTCTAGAAATGTGTGTGCAAATAGAGCAGCACAGCCATGGGGAACGTGAGGCCAAGTTTGCACGTTCAGATTATGGCAGAGGAGTCCTGGCAGAACATGCCTATGAAACTTGCAACTTTCCCCTTTCTGTCTTGTGGCAAGTCCACTCTGAGGATGACGTTGTGCTGTCGTTTCCAGCTACTGAGTTGATCTGCGTGGAAGTAGTTGGGCAGTGGTTTTAAATGCAGCAGCTCGAGAGCGTAAACTGGAGGTCACTGTCCTCAGATCTCAGAGTCCAAGTTTTAAAGGACAAAAAGATACTGATAAGTAACCTGCATTGTGGCCAGAGGGTTAATTGTAGGCAAGAACAATAATTAGTATAAACTAGGTAGTACTTTGTTAGTCAGATTGACCAGCCACAGGGATTCCACCTGCTTCAAGTACCTGTGAAAATAGTTTATCTTCTTTAAACGATTATTTAGAAGAATATTGCATGCCGGATCTGATTGGTACAATAGTCAATTATCTAACCTGCTGATTGAGATGTACTCATCAAAACTACTGCAGTGTTACAAGACATGTTAACAGCACAACAAGGTTCATAATTAACCAACTAACTCACGTGACAAATGCTCATATTTCAAGGAAAAGCAGCAGTGAACATGTAAGACAGAATCCCAGCAGTCTCCTGGGTTCTGACAAGGGTGCAGGTTCCAGTGTGGAAGGGTCTGTACCAAAAGAAATGAGGAGGCCAGAGGCTTGTGATGTATTTGTTATTTATAACTTTATAGAAGTCAGGACGCACATTTTTTGGAGGATTCAGGTTCTAAGGCAAGTGGCAGCAGAATAAGAAATCTTTCCTAGCCCTTGATGGATACAGAGTTTGCAATATCAAGAACCCACAACGTAGTACTGCCATCCTCCTTAGCAGCCTCTCTATCCAAAGCAGTGGGGTAGGATCTGAAGCAGAAATAATCTATACAGGGATACTGTCAGTACAGTCAGATAGTTTTTAATACTTTATGGACTATATCCTAGTTTTTGTTAGCAGAAATCCTGAATTACTCTACCAAGCAGCCTCTGGATGTATTCCACTATAGTCAAAAGCTGAATTTACCTTATTGTTTAAGCACAATTGATGATACCCCTGCAAATCGCAGCACGAATCTTTTAAGTCTTGCTGTAGGTATCTGGCTGTTTACTTCTTTTTTGTTTCTTTTTGTCTCGTTGCAGTAGGCATCCTCACAACGCGTAAATGACTTTGAATGTTAATGATAGTGACGCACATCCAGAAACAGCCCGATGACACTCCAGTGGGTTATGTGGCCTAAGTCTGATGGATCTCAGCCCAGTCTCCAGAGGACAAGGGTGTCCAGGCTTTCAAAAGCAGTATGGCCATCAGTTAATACTGACTGACACCCTCCTGGCATGCCCAGCTGGGAGTCCATAAATTCTGTGGGCAGGAAAGACATCTCCCTCTTTATTTACAGAGGTTATCCCGCAATATCCATTTTGAAACGCTGCCCACCACGTCCATTACGTGTTTGGGAAGCTTGCCCAAACCATACCTGATATATGGGCAAACAAGGCAAACCTCGCTTACAAAGTGGTGCCTACCCGCCTGCCGACACCAAGTCAGTAAATTTCGTCCTGCCGACAAGGCTAAAGCGCATGGGGAGTATTTACTCCGCTTGTGTGTTCAGCTGCTGCGAGCAGAGGAGGAGGCGGGAGGGAGAAAGAGCATCTGTGCCACGGACGGGGAGCGAGTGCTTGGCACAAGGTGAACGGCTGTACTGGAACGTGCTATTTTTAGCCAAGAAGGAGGCAGAAGGGGTGGGGGACAGGGCAGGATGGGGGTGATTGACGGCAGCTTTGGAGAGCTCAGCTGTAATTATAACTGACAGACTGTGCGAGTCCAAGGCTGGGGACCGTACGAGGGTTTCTATATTTGCACAGCTTCTGGTGCCGGGGGTGGGAGCGGATTCAAGTGCCTGGCAGGTAGGAGCAGGGGTGCTGCTTCCCGGTTTTGGTAGGAAAGCAGGTCAGCGCCAGGGGGAGAGCGAAAACAGGAGGAATATGGATTTATTTATAGGCGTCTCAGTGGTGCTTGCCACTATTGTTAGCCTCTGGGTTCCTCAGAAACAGGCAGAGACTCCGTCTCGCTACTGCCTCACCAGTCTCCCCTCCTGGATCCATCGGATCCAGCAGCAGATCCGATGGAGGCCCCTTGCAGGGCCGGGATTGCTCGCCAGGGGGAGAGCGAAAACAGGAGGAATATGGATTTATTTATAGGCGTCTCAGTGGTGCTTGCCACTATTGTTAGCCTCTGGGTTCCTCAGAAACAGGCAGAGACTCCGTCTCGCTACTGCCTCACCAGTCTCCCCTCCTGGATCCATCGGATCCAGCAGCAGATCCGATGGAGGCCCCTTGCAGGGCCGGGATTGCTTGGCACGGCCGCAGCGCAAGTGAAAAATCAACTCCTTCCACTTAGAGAGGGAGAGTCAGCACGGAAAGGGGGCCATGGGGTGCAAAGCAGCTGAGACGGGCAGGGTAAGGAAGGCACTCTCGGCTTCCAGGGATGTTTTCGGTAGTTTCCAGATCTGGGAGCGGTTGTGAAGTGCAGGGAGGAAGGACTGGGTGTGAGGCGGTGTGGGAACAGAGACCTTTCAAAGGAGTACCCGAAGAGGGGGTTGAACCATTACTTCCCACATGCTTTTGGAGTACGTGACTAGCCGTGCGTGATCTCATTGCCCATGTTTCAGGGGAACTGGGCGTGCTGCTGCGCTGACCTGAAGTAGAACAGCTTTTTCTTGAGCCTGCCCAGCTGTGCAGCCGGCTGTCCCTTCCTCCCAGGGCCGACGGCGTTGCAGGGGAGCTGATCACTCAGCAGCAGACCCGAGCGTGTCCAAGTCCCCGGGCTGCAGGTGCTCGCAGCTCTCTGCTCCAGGAGGAGCTCAGTGCCTGACAGCTCCCTTCCAGGGCAGGGCTGTGGCTGTTTACTTAGGCTTTACGGAGGAAAACTCTGGCTATGTTAATGACTAAGTGAGGGGCACAGGATTTAATCCAGTGGCTTCAGTAAGACAGCAAAGACTTGGGATTTGGACTCCTAAGCCCTGCTGTAAAACAGTTCAGCATTTGTGAAGAGTCTTGTTCTCTGTGGAACAAGGGACAATTGTGATGTGGGACTGCAAGCTGGCGTCGGCATCCCCTGCCTCTCGCAGGCGCAAATGATACCAGCCCAAGCGTTTGCTTCTGTGCTGTCCTGAAAATGGGAAAGCTCCAGGCTTTGGGTTTTCCTCAGAACATACCAGACCTTAGCAAAACCAGCCCCATTTATTTCTTTGGGGTTGGTACTGCAATGTGTGTGCTCTACCCTGTGGGAGCCTTTGCAGGGTTGGTTGGTTTAAAAAAAGAAGAAAGAAAACAATAGCTAAATACCAAGAAAATGCTGGATGACGCACAGGGATTGAATGAAGTACAGATGTTCTGTCACCTATATTGTCTGCCTGAAATGCATAGAAAAAAATTGCCATGCTCCGTGGAATGAAATTTGTCACACCAGGAGCAGACGCAAGCACATGCACTACAACGTCTTGAGGCATGTACCCCACGGAGGGAGGTTCTCATCCAGTGTTATTCTTATTGAACACCTGGAACCCATAAGCAAGATCAGGGGACTTGGGGAACGGTCCCTGCCCGGTGACACAGGAAAGAGAGGCAGGCAGTTGGAGCAAATAAACCCACCTGCAGTTGTTCCTCAGGTCTGGGTACAGAGCCAGTTCTCCGTGATCATAACGCGCCTTTAGCTCCTGAACTGCTTCCCTAGCCACGGCGGGGGACAACTTTATTGGGGTGGAGGGACTGTGCCTGTCCTGCCCCCCCTTAGCCCTTTAGTACCAGCCAGAGCAGTGCACGAGCCCGCGGTCCTGTGGCGTCTTGAGCAGATGCACGGCGGAGCCTGCCTCCCTGCTGCCATTGCTTGTCTGTCTAGACCTGATGCCAGTGGAGGGAACGAGCCAAGGATCCAGCCTGGCACATTTAGCACACTGGAGAAGTTGTACTGGGCTGAAATCTAAACCCAGTGGGTCTGCAGGGGCTTTGTGTTTGTATACGATTTGGTGATGGAGCTCTGCCTCTTAGAGTTTTGTGTCCACGTAGGCACCAAAGGGCAAAGTGAACGTTATTTTTCAAGTGGAATGCAGGTGGCTGCTTGCAAGACCAGCCCAGGTTTTTTGGCAAGGAGTACTGAACCTAAATCTGCCCCAATCTAGCTATAGTAGCCTTGTTTCATATCATCCTTGACCGGCTTTCTGTGACCTCTTGTTACATGGGTGTTTAACCGCCCCCAGCAAATCCTTCCATTAACAGGGGATGCAGCAATAATTTGAGAGCACACAAAGCCCAGCGAGGGCTGACCGTCCGTCGTTGTGTAAAAACTCTCACACACTCAGAGGGTGTATCGAGGTAAACCCACGAAATCCCCAGCACGGCCACGGTGCAGGTGGGTTGCAGGCAGGGGCCCA